TTATATCATATAGTCACCTGTTCTTTGATTATTGTTCCAGATCAAGCCAACCTGATTATCTGTAACTTTGGTATAATTTTCTTAGTTCCGCTCCTTTCGCCGCCGCAAAAAAAGGATTATTTTGTGTTACAACTACAAAAAAAAAAAAATCCCATGATGGTTATGGTCAATAATGACAATAAATAGTAAATAATAAATAATAAACAAACAGTGCGTACGGACTTTAGATCCGTTAATCGAAAACAAAGAAAATTGTAAATTGAATGAATAAATTCCTCTTTTGAATCTCTCGTAATTATAAAGATTAAATCATCATTATTATTTTTCGAGAATACAAAACATTGATCACGAGAATCACAAACAAAAGAAGTCGTTGTTGAAAAAATATTTAATTAGCAACTCATTGATTGATTCAAGGAATTAATAGTTTTCCTTCCTTCCCCTGAACAAGATTAATTATCAAATTATTAGTTGTTGAAGGAAGATCTTTTTTTTTTCTAGAGCGAAGATCATACATATTCTTTCACATTATTCTTTCTAAGCAGAAATGAACAATCATGTTGGCTTGATCTGGAACAATAATCAAAGAACAGGTGACTATATGATATAAGATAACAATAATCTTTGTGTTTCACAAAATTCCTATTCTCTTTCTTTTTTTTTTCAAGGTGGAGAAGGAATAATTTATAATTTAATGTTACACGAACAATATACTTTTCATTCAGCAATTTCCTTTTATGTTTCCATTACAAAGTTTCTATATGTGGAGATATAAATAATAAATATTCCTTCGATGAATGTGAAACAAAATCTTTTTTACATTGTTCACAAACATATGTTGTTGTATTCGTTTAATCTGCAAGTTTTGTATATTTGGAAAAATCAATAAATGTAACGAAATGTTTATTTTTATCATGTGAATAAAGATACTTCTTTTTGACCATATCATCGGATAACTAATTGATCATCCTACACGTTAAATAGATGTTCTTTTAGATAATGCAATGAATAGCAATGTGAGCAATAATATTTGTATAATGAGTATTACAAACTTGTATTGTTTTGGAAATTCTATAATTAAATATAAAGTGGAAATTTCTATTGGCAAATTCATTTTCACAAATTATTTATCAAGTTGCATCCGTAGTAAAAAATTCCTAATATGTCCATGCATTGACGTGAAATCCCAAGGTGAGATTTAGGTGTCTTTTTTTTTTTTTTCTGAATTTCCGAAATCGGCATTTTGCCTTATAATAAATTTTTTATGAAGAAATACTAGTCTATTTTTTTTTTTTTTTAATTAAATACAAAAAAACACAAAAAGCTAAAACAAAACAAAAAAACCAACCTTAAATACAAAAAAAAAAAAAAAAAAAAAAAAAGAAAGTTAAAATCCTTCGAGGGAGATTATTTGTTACGTTGGAATCGGAAACTGCTATTCTTGTTACAAAGAGAATACTGGATCGTTGGTAACTAATTTTTTTTTTACGAAAATTTGCACTTTCTCTTTTCCTCTTTTAAGCAGCTAATAATAATATCAAATCAAAATTTTGTGTCTAGATTAACTAAAGTACAATACAGGCGTTTGAAAAAGAAAAAAAGTACATAATGTATCGTCAAGTGAATTATATATAAACTTGAATACATAGAAAATATTTACGTTGCCATATAAATTAGTTAATATAATTTCCAAGACGATTATTTTTTTCATAGTTGATCCTATGCCAACCAAACCAACAAGCGAAGCACGCAACAATTATATCTAAATCCAAACGCGGAAAACTTTTGGTTAAATTTGAAATTCGACTATTATATATTTCATTAGTGTGTCATTGTCGAATTGGACTGCGGATGTAAGTGAATAATTCGAGGGTGATGGAGTTTGCTTCATAGATTATATTTTCAATTGCTTTAATAAATTTCATAAAAGTTTCTGCTGGCTAATTCTTTTTTCATTATTTCTAATGTCAACATCGGCTCACCTTCAACATCTTTGGTGGAATTGTCTTGGTCATAAACAACTTGATGTTCGTTAGTATCAATATGATCATTCATTATCATTAATATTATTTCTATTGTTATAAAATAAATACCTTTGGTTTATTATCAAAAAATATTCATTATTCGTATTTGTTGCTGAAATAGTAATCTATTTCTCGGGTAAACATTTTCCAAGCAATTATAATGCGTCGGATTGAGATTATAATGTTGAAACATTTGTTTTGAACTATTTCGTAGATATGGAGATATAAAGTGGATGATTGGTTGACACACACATATTAATAAATCTTTAGGTACGAGTTATGATTTTGTTTTTATCCCTGCATTTTGGATTAAAAAGCTAGTAACAGTCAGTGTTCAATGAACTTTAAAAATTAGCTTGAACAATTCTAGTTCTCCCTGCTCTCTCAAAATAGATATAATGAACACATTAGATAAAAAAATTACGCGAATGATAGATAGTTACACATGTATTGTATGTATGCATGCATGTATGATAGACATAGATTGACATAATTCAACTATGAGATTAAATATTTATCCAAATGATATATGAAGATAGATGAAAATAGATGAGCAAAATGACACTGTAGTTGCTTTTTTTTTGGAGCTCGTTATCGAGACCTAAATCGTGGAAGGCGAAATTTATTTTACGTTTTAAAATGATTGATTTTTACCTATTTCCTATTAAATCGACAACATCTATGGAAAAAAATAAACTTTTCCATGATTTAATTTACACCAATTACATTTTAAAATTTATGATTTATGAAGCAATTAATTTCCTTTGACTTTAATTTATTTATTTATTATAATAATTAAATCAAGTATTATTTAAATATTTAATCAGCACTTTAATAATATTGTTTTTTTTTGCATTTTTCAAATAACATCTTTCTGTTTGTCTTTTTTTGAAAAAAAGAAATTATTCAACTCTTATCATCTACTCTAATACAAATTATATATAATATGAAGGTTTCAATAGTGTTTATAGTTGGAAGTATAATATTCACATTTATATCTTGCGGATTTATGTCTTATCTATGTGTAACCAATTTTACAAAATTACGTTTAGCATGGTAAGTAATCAATCATTTTTTGATTTTTCCCATTCATTTAAAAAAAGCGATTATTTTCCTCACTCAAAAAAATAAAATTTTTTTTTACAGTTTGATATCAACAATATTTATATTGATAAATGGCATATATAATTATTTGAGAACGTTTGATACTGTAATCGTTGCTAATTATTGGCTGGTATTTGCAATAGTAAGAGAGATTTATACAACGGTATTGGTTGTTTGTATGTTGGAGATGGGACGTATATTTTATAACACAAAGTGGAACACTTTACTATTCAAAATAACAATAATTAGTTTAGTAATTTATGATGGTGTAAATATAGCAGATTCAATTTATACATATTCAGATAACATTGAAAACCCTCCTTATTTTCCATTATTCTTGACCCAGGTAAATGATTGGTTGGTCGATTGTGATTAATTGATTGGTTGGTTGATTATTTAATTTCATATTTTTTTATACACATAGATAATATTAGGAGTATCAACTTTGGCCTTATCATTCTTGTATGCATTCCTTCCAGCACTAACACTCCACACATCTAAACATAATTCATCAACGAAACAACACATAAATGCACAATCAGCATCTGCGGGTACCTGGTTCGTGACAATAGTTGGAATTCTTTTAATATTGTATTTAATATCGTATGTAGTGGTTTTTTTTCTGTCTGGAGACGATTTCAGAGATTTCAATCATTCGCCAGTGGAGAATGCATTAGATCTCATTGTACGTAATTTGCTAACACTGGCAATCAGCTTCCCACCACCAAGCAAAGCTATCAATCTAATAAAAAAGAGAATTATAAATAGAAGAATGTCGAGTTTTATTATCACTGATTCCACCACTATAGTTGCACCTAGAAATGATTATTCCTCAACTGAAAGGACCTTAAGCATCAAGGATAGCAATAATAAGTGTGATGTTACTGTTAACGTTATTATTAATGATAATAATGAAACAAATGAAAAATTTGAATTTTGAATTTTGAATTTTAAAATTTACAAAAATATTAATAAATTTTCTAAAAAGAAAAAAAAAAAAAAAGGAATGAATATATTCTAAAAAATTTTCAAATAAAAATCTAAAAAGAAAACTCAAAGTTTTATTATATTAAAAAAAAAAAAAAAAACAATTATTCTGATCTCGTCAACATTCCGATTTTAGAATGTTTCTTGATAGTATTTCTGGTGAATAATCGACTCATTGACAATGTCAAACTTTTATAATTATTGCCGAAATCTAATTTGATAATCATGTTTGAGAAATTATTTTCCAGGTATTTCTTAATATCCTCGAAAAAGTGATTTATTATACAGTATCCATTCAGACTGTAATCATTTAATCTATGAGAATAATAATAATTATTACTAAAACTGTTAATAACCCTAGATCCAATAATACTTCCTTTAAGACTATTAAAACTATTGTTATTATCATTATCATTATTATTATCATTATTGATATTATTAACACTACTAGTGCTATTATTATTACTAAGATTGTTATTATTTTCATTAATAAAGTCATTATTGATATTATTATTATTGTTATTATTGTTACTACTACTACTACTACTACCACCACTACCACCACCACCACTGCTACCAACACCAGCACCAACACCAGCACCAACACTAATTCCAATACTGCCATTTCCATTAGCGTTGAAACATTTCGTTGACAATAAGTTAGAATTGTAACTATTGCTATTGTTATTATTATTATCAATTAATTTACATTCAACTTTACTACCATCACGATAAAATGTTATCGAGATACGATCAACAAGCTTAGAAATTGCCAGACAAAGTAATTCTTCAATTGCGTAAGCAAAATCATCCAACAATTCTCCTGCTGCTTTCTCTGCTAAATCATGTTTAGAGGTGAATGGAATTTGGAAATAGCTGAACTCCTGTTCTAAATCTGGCAATGAAATATGATTTAGATGTGATGTGAAATAATTTCTTTGTTGTTGATTGAGATTATTAATAATATTGCCATTATTGTTGTTGTTATTGTTATTATCGTTAAGGTTATTAATATTACTACTAACATTAATACCACTTGTACTAATAATATTATTATTACTGTTATTACTAATATTGTTGTTTGTGTCAATGCTCTGTGGTAATGAAAATGGAGGTGAAATGTTTAATATGTCATCTTTCCAAAGGATCTTTCCAGTACGATAAAATTCTAAAATATAATAGAACGCATAACCATTCCTATCTATAAAGTATTCATTTCCGTTTGTTGGATGTAGCATTTCCCTATTTCTTTGATGAAACATTGTTCCTAGTAATGTTTCGGGATATGCTGTTAAAGTAGAACGACATGTTTCATACTAGAAAGAAAAAAGAAAAAATTTCATTTTTCGTAAATAAATAATGATAACAACAACAACAAATGATGACGACGATGAATATTAGCTAGAAATATTAGCTATATAAATACACATGGTATATACTTTAATGCCTCCAACATTTAATATGATTCTTTCATCTCTCAAAAGATTTGTTGAAGTTTCACCGACCGTGGGTTCTTCAAAATCACTAGTAATTTGAGATATTGACATCTTTTTCTGCAAGAAAAGTGAAAGAGTGAAATTATTAATTGATAAATTACTTTTTTATTGTTATATTTTTTCTCTCTTTTATTGAGCAGTCAGTCGGTAAACCAGTTTACTAATAATGTTTTATTTAGAAGAAAATTAAAAAAAAAAAGGGATTTTTTTTTTTGTAAAAAATAAATTATTTATTATGATGATACGTATTTATTTATTTATTTTATTATTTTATTGTAATTATTTATATTAAAAAAAAAAAAAAATTTTTGAATCAATTTACAAAACAAAAAAGTGGTTAGGTAATAAATAATTTGATTAATTTGATTTAAAATAACTCTACTATTCTAAATAGACCGACTTTTTTTTAGAAACTAACTATTATTTTAATTATACCTTGCTTTCAAAGAAAATAAATAAATAATTTAAATTGTCTGTAGTACAAGGATAATCTTTTAAACAACAAGGGTCTCAGCATTACTTAAAAAGGAGAAATTTTAAATGATTGGTGTCTTTTATTTTATTTTGATTAAAGAGATCTGCGTTTATTTTATTAATCAAATTACTAATTACCCATCACTTATTAGCAATTCATACAATCATTGTTCATAAATAGTATAGAATGGATGAATTGAATTGAATTGGAACGCAATTTAATGTAAATTTTCTATCAATTCATTCATTTATTCACACACACATACATACACGCTCCCATGAAGAAAAAAAAAAACAAAGCACTTCTTTTTTTTGTTGATCCAAGATGAAAATTATATATATATATATATATATGCACAAATATCACGAATATGTACCTTGCAAATCCATAGTGCTTATACTTAATATACATGTAAAAATTTACTTTTTAGAATGTTTTACAAACGGTAAATAAATTGACACTTCTTGGAGGACAAAATTTTGTATATTAATACTACATGAAATTCATGTCAAATATTAGCTTAAGCACGCACATAAAAATTTACTTTCTTTATGTGAATTGGTAAATTATATAAAGCTGTCGTTGTACAAAAAAATTGTGCAACTATTAAAAAAAGTACTTTTTTCTGGGGGAGTGCATATTAATTAATATTAATATATTAATATTTATCTAATGAGATAGATAGTATTTATTGTGGTTCATCCGATTATAAGAATAAAATTGTCCTTTCAAATCTATGATTTTAAATAATAAAATTGATCATTCAATTTATGCCTTAATTACTATTTATAAATTAATTAATTAATTAATTATTAAATATATTTACAATCTCAATTAATATAATATGATATAATATAATAATAATTAATCTATTTTAATTACTAATAAATAAACCCAATTTCCAACAATATTTAACAATTGAAAATTATTAATTAACTAATGATGATGATGCACCGCTAGTTAACTGATGGTGGGGTAGTACTTGGACCTTGTTGTTGTTGTTGCTAAACTGGTACTACTTGTGGTGTTTCTGTTACTGCAGCTACTGTGGCTGGTGTTTCTTGGCTTGGGTATGCAGGAGATGCCGGTGTTGTAGTAACTGGTGCTGTAGTAGCAGCCGGTTCAGGTGTTGGTGCAGTTGGTGATTCTGTCAATTAACCAACCAATTGCATTAATTAATTAAATATATATTTTGTGAATTGAAAAAAAAAAAAAAACATATATATATATAAATACTTGTGAAGGTGAAAGTGGTTTTTGGATCATATTGTACAGGCGTTTCAGTGCCTTCAATGATCGTAAATCTGGTTGTCCAAGCGAGACCATTTGCAGGAGTTTTTGGATCAGAGAACATAAAGAAATAAATTTTTCCTGATGGATATCCATATTGTTTTAATGATGGCACTGTCCATTCAAATTCTTTGGCTGTGGTTGGCAATTTTGGTGCTACAACGGCCAACGGAATTTGATTAAGATCGGGTCCTGTCATCAATTGAATGTGGATTCCTGACATTTTACTAGTCTTTGGTTGCCCTGCCTCGTCCCACAAAATCTTTACCTTTTAGATTGCGAGAGAGAAAAATAAAATAAGTATGATTTATTTGTAATAGTGCGCGCGCATGTAAGGGTTTCGACGAATTTGGAGATTACTTACTTTTTCGCCTGTATGCCAAACTGTTTCTCCATATGGATCTGTTGGGGATGGTGCAGCTAAGCACAATCCCAAACTAATCAATATAACCAACAAATAATTTAAACCTCTATTATGAAACATTTTATAATGCAAATTTAAAAATGGTGTTTTTTGATTTGATATTCAAAATTTTTTATTAATTAAAAAAAATTATTATTAAGATAAATTAAAATAATATTTAAAACCTGAAATTTTTTTTCGCGACATTTTATATTCTTTTTTATTTATTTTGTAATTTATAAAAGACAATATCCGTAAGCATCGGTTATTTGGTGAATGACCGAAACATTTCCACAACATATGTATGGTATATACATATCCATATAATTCGTTCAAACCATAATTTATTTAATGTAATAAATAATAAATAATGCTATAAATAATAATGCTATAAATAAAATATTTTATGAACGTTACACGTCACCAAAACTAGAAGTCAGAGGAAAAACGAAGTAGTTCCAAAAGAATTCCCTTGACGTTTTTGTTTTTGTTATGTCCAATTATATAAGCATATGTTACTTTGTTTATTAAATTAGCGTTCTCCCTTTTAATCATGCATTATTGTTTTAGTTGATGAAATATATATAGGATTACCTAACTTAGGCAGTAATGATTAAAGATTTGAACTGGTGTTTTTTCATTGTAAGGGTTTCGACGAATTTGGAGATTACTTACTTTTTCGCCTGTATGCCAAACTGTTTCTCCATATGGATCTGTTGGGGATGGTGCAGCTAAGCACAATCCCAAACTAATCAATATAACCAACAAATAATTTAAACCTCTATTATGAAACATTTTATAATGCAAATTTAAAAATGGTGTTTTTTGATTTGATATTCAAAATTTTTTATTAATTAAAAAAAATTATTATTAAGATAAATTAAAATAATATTTAAAACCTGAAATTTTTTTTCGCGACATTTTATATTCTTTTTTATTTATTTTGTAATTTATAAAAGACAATATCCGTAAGCATCGGTTATTTGGTGAATGACCGAAACATTTCCACAACATATGTATGGTATATACATATCCATATAATTCGTTCAAACCATAATTTATTTAATGTAATAAATAATAAATAATGCTATAAATAATAATGCTATAAATAAAATATTTTATGAACGTTACACGTCACCAAAACTAGAAGTCAGAGGAAAAACGAAGTAGTTCCAAAAGAATTCCCTTGACGTTTTTGTTTTTGTTATGTCCAATTATATAAGCATATGTTACTTTGTTTATTAAATTAGCGTTCTCCCTTTTAATCATGCATTATTGTTTTAGTTGATGAAATATATATAGGATTACCTAACTTAGGCAGTAATGATTAAAGATTTGAACTGGTGTTTTTTCATTCATTTATTTATTTGGATATAATTTTACGCCTTATAAACCCTGATTGGTTGGTTTCACTTTGAATCTGGTTACGTTGGAGCAACAACAATTAATTTTATTTACTTTTTTAAATTATTTGTTTATTTTTTTGTTCTACTAAATCTACTAAACCATATCAGATATAAAATTTCCAGTTTTTATAGTGTACATCAATCATTTATAAAATTTGTGTGACTTTTCCCTAAAATTTAATTGACGATCCGCGAATAGTGATCAGCGGGGGAAATTTCTCAAAAAAAAAATGGCCAATCCGTGCACCTTTGGATGAAAAGTTGTACCATGCTTTTGTTCCATTACATTTTTTTATGTATCCACAAATGAAATAAATCTTAGAAAACATACTGTATTATCGTTTTTTTTTGCCTTTAACTAAAATACTTATAAACAAAAATAAAAATATCAATGCAAATAAAAAATAGTACCTTTGTGTCATTAACACGTCTTCAGACCCAAACCATACCAAACAACATCATTCACGTTTTGTCATTGAAAAATTTTTTTTTTTCAAAAAAAAAAAAAAAAAAAAAAAAAAACAAATCGCGTCAACAAAAAAAACCAATAGGATAAAGAATTAATGTGAACACGTCGATCAAATAACAAACTTCTTTTAATGTCATCAAAGAATCTGAAAAAAGAAATCAAAAATTTGAAGGAGGCAATGTGTAAGCATTTATCATAAGAATGGTGGTGGTTGCCACTCTTATGCTAATAATCCTCAGGTTAATGTTTTATATGCTGCAAAAAAAAAGATGAAAAGAAAAATGATGTATTTTTTTTATTAGAATTTTTTTATTTTTGAAAGATCTTGAAAAAAAATTTTTTCCGTTGAACAAATTAATTTATTAACTATGAAATTTAAACCTACCTTCATGCAGATAATCAATCATATTCTTATGCATTATTACAAGAAATAATACATCATCCTGATCATGTTGCATTGATTGCAATCATAAAACATGTATCAACTTTGGATCCTACAAGATCAATTCAATTACAAATACAACTCATAAACATACCTGGATCAAATGAATCTGAATCAAATGGTGTAAACACATGTGAGGCATTGCACTCTTATATTCATTTGGCTGTTGGTAAGGGTTGTATTCACGGATACCATGAATACCGTTAAGGGGTTACACACTATTACTATTAAAACCAGGGCTGGCAGTGTAAAGGGGTTAAAAACCTAATTTAGTAACAATCATCTTGACTTAACATATGACTAAATAGATTAGTCAGTTTAGCCAAGTGCTCATTTGAGTTACGCAGCCAGCCCTGATTAAAACAGCAAAAAATCCCTTAACTTGATTTTAATGGTGTGTGACCCTGTATGGCTCCTTACAGTATCCATGAATACAAACCCTAGCCGTTGGTCCTTACTTTGAAGCTTATGTTAATGCAAAAGGGATTAATGTTATTTTGCAAGTAGCACTATCAAAAAATTGAAAGAGAGTCTTGGTAAATGAGACTTATTATAAATAATAATTAATTTCTCTTTACTAATTTATAAACTTCACAAATTTATAAGGTTTATAATAACATTACTAATTACTATTAAAAGACATACATTATGAAAACCAAAAATCAATCTTAATATTAAAAAAAGTCAGCCTTCATCACAATCAAATATCATATCAAGAGAGTCAAAACCACTTCCTGTTAATGGACAAAATATTGGATTTTGTAAAGGGTTTAGGGTGTGAATTATGGAAATAAATAATAATAATTATTATTATTTGTAATCATTAATTTTAGGGTCCTTACAATAAAAATTTTTAGCATATAAATATTATTTTATTAAATCATTATTATAATTATTATTAATATTATGTTGCAAAAAAAAATTTAAAAAATTCCTCAATGTTTATTTTTTATCATGAAATTCACCTTTGATTATTGGAGGTTGAAATTTATGGAAGTTTTATATTATTTAAAGTCTTATCAATTGTCTGACAACAATGAAATATCTACTCAATATTGAATTACTAAGTTGATTTTCATCAATCTTAAATAAAACTTTTATCTGTTTCAATCAAATATTCTTCATAGTAAAATTAATGTTATGTACACTCACTCTACCATTAATATTAAAATTTTTTCAAAATAATGTAGGTTCCTAATATATTTGTCATGATGAGTAGTATGCAATACATATTTCTTTATGAGTGATGACAAATAATAATTGAATTCAATATATTTTTGTTTCAAGTATACAATTTTGCATTTGGTATTAATCAATTGAAAAGGAGAACATGATCATTAATTGTGATCTTTATTATTATCTGAAAATTGCATGACCATCAATAGCATTGTTATAATCAGTGTTGTCAGTGGACACAGACACGGACACAGACTGTCCATGTCTGTGTCTGCCACTTTAAATGTCCTGGATCATTCTTGGACAAAAATATAAATTTTTGTATATTTTATGAGTTTATCCTCTGTGAACACTTTATGGTACAATTAACAAAGCAACAAAAATCCTATAGAGTTCTTTTTTATTTGCTTTATTTTACTTTCTTTGACCAATTGAAGCCAGCTGTATGTTTGCAACAATTACTTTACAATAAAATAATCAATATGTGATAATGACTTTTGTCAATAACTGTTAGCTCTTTCAATTAAACCATTTATAAAAAATTAAACAAACCATTTATGCTTAACAAAACCAAAAAAATAAACCTTTGCGTGTGTCACCAATTAATTTTGGGAGAGTGTGTTTTAATTGATGATAACAGATTTTTATTAATTTATGTGGATCAGAATGAATAGGCTAATACTAACGAATTAGATTTATTAGTGAATAATTTTGTTTTAGTGAGTTGATAAAAATGATTTATTTAATTTTGTATTTAGTCGAAACTAATTATTAACTTATTATTAAGTTAATTTGTTACAAAGTTATTCTTCGATTACAGCAAATTCTCATTCCTTATATACAGGTTCGATTATATGTATCCTAGTTTAGGATAATTAGCCTAGATTAAGATATTTCTCCTAATCTAAGATAATTCTCCCGAGTTAGGATAATTCTCTCTTTCTAGGATAATTCTCCTTCCTTGTACTCAGGATAATTCTCCTAATCTAAGGTACATATCCTGATTCAGGATAATCTTCATTAATTTCTATTAAATAAAGGTCTAATGCGAACGTGTTACTAATTAATTACTTCTGCGGAATGTAACACGAACTCATATAATTAAATTAAATCATTCGGATAAAATAAAATTAAAAATAAATAATAGATGAAATAAATAACTAAAAATAAATAATGAATAACTAAAAATAATAAATAAATAATATAAAAATAATATAGAAAATATTACTCCGGATTTTCGGGGTTATTGATCAGCGAATTAAGGTCCAATTCGCATTCCGGTGACACTTACTAAAACAAATATCTAAAAATTTTTTTTGTTTTAACCACTTTGATAACCAAATGGAAATTAAACGCTACTGTTTAATTTCCAACCACAAAAGTGTTTTATTAAACAAAGAATTAATTCGTTTTAAATTATGAAAATGTTTATTACAAGTGAATTATTTGTAAAAAAAATAAATTTATATTAACTTTCTGCCTCTACTCTCAAGCAAGGCTCTGATTATTAATATAGAATTATTTAATTAACTGGTTGATTGATTTCTTTCACTAATTTAATAAATAAATGGAAATTATAATAAAAATACAAATATAAAACATTTTTCTTCCCTTCCTCCTCTCAATTTTTCAACACATGCTTTACAAAAGGGTTTTGAATTGCTTTGGTTTAGTTTTATGTTGGTTCTAATAATATGTTGAGTTAATAAAGGTGGTAGATGCATTTTCTCACAGCTTGTACTACTGGTCCCGGACATATTAATGGTCTGGGAAATGAGCGAACATGTCCGCGAAACTGTTATATGGACATTGTCCGGGACATGTCCTATGTACAACACTGGTTATAATTAATTAGGAAATCGTGATTGAAACACAAACATTGAAAAACTAATAGAAAAATTTTTTTTTCAATAACAAAAATTACTTTTATATTTGGAAACTAAGTTATAATGATTATTAGAAGGATTTGTCATTTGAATTTTTTCACCTGAAAACTAAAGTGAACTGGTGATACTTTTATAATGTTTCAATGTCAATGAGAATTTTCTTTGCAGCAATAATCAATAAAAAAATAAATCAATATTGTAATAATAATATTAGAATCACCTTCCGAACTCATGAGTTTAGGACTATTTGAAATTAAAACCATTCTAAACTGGTTTAGAAAATGAGCCCGAATTCCTAGACTGTCCAAAACTCCTAAACTGTTTTCAAAACTCCTAAAAACAAATAATTTTAATAAAATAAAAACCATTCATACCCAATGTCAAGTTGTTAGCCTTTTCTAAAATATTATTAATTTTTATATCCACATGAACAGCTTCATCTGATAATAATTTAATACTAAGACAATCTTGTGAAGGAGGTTTATAATTTGATCAGAGATTTTTTAACATGTTGATGAAAAAAGGGGTTTCAATTATTCTAAAGGGGATACCACAAACCACAAAAGCCTTTAAAATTGAATGATCTATAATTCCTGCGTGTTCTTTTGATAATATCTCATCTTTATCCCAAAAATTAGCAAGTGATTGTGTATTTGCTTTATATGCTGTATTTTCTAAAGATTCACTTACACCATCTCTTTCTGCAACAATATACATATATCTTTTATTGATCTCTTCTTAATGTATTCACATTCACACGCCAAATGGACTTGCGGTTTATTAACAACTCCATTACCCCATTCACAATTACATGCTTTGCATTTGGCTCCAAAATGTCCTGGATATTTTGAAGGATAACATTCAAAATGTTGCTAAACTGCATTTTTTGGTTACCCACCAAGTTTTTTTGAATTTGATGAACTCTTTATATCAACATCAGTATTGTTTGACATTATTGTGATTAAAAAAATTTATATATTTTTAAGAAAGAGAAAAAATTATATTAGAACAAATAAGAAAATTATAATATATTTTTAAACTAAACCAATGATTTAATAACTAATTAATTGTCAGGACAATAATATCAAAATAAAATGAACTTTGATAAAAACTTTGGTCACTTGAAGAGAAATAGAGAAAATGAATGATTTTGATAATCATGGTTACACAGTTTAAGGGTTTTGGGTTAGTTTTGAAAGTAGTTTAGGGTTTCTACACTAGTTTAGAAAAGGGGAAAGGCAACTCTAAATAAGATCATTTTCTTTCTAAAAATTTCTGTTTTTTGTTGGGTAATAGCAGACTTTCATTCTGCTTTCTTTTCTAACATCTATTGTTTTTCTTTCTGCTTGGTAAATTTCATAGGTAATCTTTTCATTCCTTAGATAAGCTTCAAGTGTCTGAATATCATTTATTTTGAAAATATAAGGGGCATTTTTTTCACCTTGTTCCTTTTTTAAAATACTTTTAATGGTGCTGTAATTCCTTGGTTCCATAGTAGACCTGATGTAAATGAGTTTCATTTTTATATAGGAGTAATTCTATATATTGTTTAAGAAAAATCAAAGATAACAAATGTGACATATTGATGATAACTGAATTTTGATCCCTGAAATCATTGGTAATACCAATGTTCACTTTGTCTGGTTTTGTTGCAGTATGCCCCATATTGTCTAAAGTGTTTCAAAATTATTTCATCAGGAAATTTTTTCTGATGCAGATTTATGTAATTATTACACTATTCACATAAGTTTACAGCAGGCCCCATAATATTATGCAAATAAGCATACAAAAATTATGCAATTATTACATCAAGTGTAAATATCACATAATTTTTTATGTAAATATTACAACTTTACATATTAAAATTTATGGATGTAATATTATGGTGGGGAAAATTTCCTGATGTTTGTGTGGTATTTATTCAGTTATGTCTGATTATTTTGGCAATGATCTATTAGAGGATATTATAAGTTAATTTCATGTAAATATGTTTGCAATATAAAAAAAAAATAAAAAGTTTTTATGTAAAAAATTTACTGTGAATTTTTTTTTTTAAAAATTTCATAGACGGATCGTCAATTAAATTTCTTTAAGCATAAAGGATCTACATAGCACAAAATAGCATAGATAAAAATCCTTTTATGGATAGATCGGCGTTACACACATTTAATAGACAGTTCAAAAAAAGATCAACAATTTATATGTGAAGAGTATTGTAAAATCGAAAAAGTACCACTTAGAAAAGTGGTGCAGCACAGACTATATAAAATCACCTTAAAATTTGCACAAATGTTCTGTTATTATTGTTCTTTCCTGAGCGGAATTGGATTTTTATTTTTATTAATAACAAAGTTGCTCTAAATTTGTCATAACATCCAAATTTGTGATGATCTACATTTTAACTTGATGTGCGCGTAACATAAAAAATAAAACTAATATATAGATAATTCAAACAATAGTAAATAAATAACATTTCTAACTATCATTTATCATTAATATTGTAATAAAATGAATAAAGGTGTAAGCCAAAAAAATTTTGGTCCTTGTATAGTATGTGGTAATCAAGGTATATATTATATAAACTCTATATTATACAGTGTGTTTCAAAAAAAATGGCACGCATAATGTAAATTCATTTTGAAAATTTTTGAAATAAAAAAAATTTTTTTCACATGATCAAAATGATTGGATAACTTGTTTATGTGATAATCAATCCTTGTACATATTTATCACATTGTCTGTCTTTATTTTTTTGACGTGCAAACTTTGTAAAAGATGGTTATTGCAAAATTAGAAGCACAACGTAAAACAATTTTACAT